CCCCCAAGAAAGGCTCCTTTGACACAGGCAATGACTTCTCATTCATTTATTCGTCCAATCACTAAGTATATGTATTGAGCTCCTGCTCTGTGCTGGGCTCCATTTATGGCTTAGATAGAAATCACCAGGGCAGGTCTCGGCCCTCAGGAATATCACAGGGGAAAGAACTCTTGGATGCACATCATTATAGACAGACAACCCCTAAGGGGCTGTCTACACTTGTTGTCTCTGCTCCCTCACCTTTAAAACGACTTGGCTTCGTCCTCACCACTCCACTGAAGCCACTTTTGCCAAGTCTACCAATGACCTCTTAACTTGCCAAATCTAATGGTTTTGTCTATCTCGCAGCAGAGCACACATGCCCCTGCCTCTTGGTGTGGGAGCCCTGCTCGCCCATTTTCAGGGGTCCCCCTTCTCCAGCCAGCTCAGCCTTGGACCTTCTCTTTTCTGTCTATATTCTCTCTCCCTAGGTGATCTCATTCAGTCTCATGGCTTTAAATACCATCTATATGCTGGTGACTCACAAATGTATATTTCCAGCCTAGTCCTCTCCTCTGAGCTCCAGACTCCTCTACCCAGCTTCCTGCTTCGTGTCTCTGTATGTCCAAAACCATCTCCAACTCAACAGATCCCAAATGGAGCTCTTGGTTCTCCCATCCCAAACTGGGCTCCTGCTTTCCTTTGCCGCAAGGGGGTCTCACCGTTCCTTGAGATGCTCTGCTCCACACAAACACCCAGGAGTCATCCCAATCCCCCTTCCTCTCTCTCTCCTGACAGAGCCATCATCAAGACCTGTTGGCTCAATTTCCAACATAAATCTCAAATCCATCCGCCTCCCTGGCAGCTCCATTGCGGCTACTCTCCCAAGTCAACCCCATTCCTCCCCTGGTATTTCAACAGCCTGTGGACTGGGGGACTTCTCTCTGTTCACTCCTCCCTCGAGGAGAACAAATCAGAACACAAGGATCCATGACTTAAAACCCTCCAATGGCTTCCCCTGGTGCCTGTGTGATTATGAACTTCTTACCCTGAGCTGCAAGCCTCTTGCCCAGCCCCATCCACCCACCCACCTCAGGTCTTGCACGGCCCCCCTCGCTCAGCACACTCCAGTCTTTGCCCCCCAACCCGTGAACTGGCTAACTTCTCCTATCTTCCGAGTCTCAGTTGAGACCACACTTGGTGCAGGAGGGGAACTCCCATGGCCTTCGGATCCTGCCCTATCCTAACACTGTGTCGGAATTGTTTGTGTATCTGTCTCTTTCCCCTACAAGGCCCTGGAGCTACAGATCACCGATCTTGGTCACAGACTTGCACCAAAGCATATAGCAGGCGTCCAATAAATATTGGCCAAGTGGATGGATAAAAACCTTTCCACAAGCCAGGGCTCAGCATTGTCTGCCATTTGCCCCGCAACTGGCTAGAGCTCCCACTTCATCCTCACCGTGCCCCAACAAGACTTTCTGGAGGCGTGCTGCTGGGCCTGAGCTAAGCCCCGGGCAGGCAGCAGCAGAGGAGGGCAGGACTTCTTGGCCAGCTTGCTCCCCCCACTCCCCGCAGGCCCACGTCTGCCTCTTGTCAAACCCACCAGCTCTGGTCCTGGATGGGGGTCTCCCTTGGTCCTGCCTCCTCTCTTATCCTGGATAGCCCCAAAGGAAACCTGACGGTTGCCTTTAAATAGATATTATTTTATTTATTTTTTATTTATTTTTTAAAGATTTTATTTATTTATTTGAGACAGAGAGAATGAGAGAGAGAGAGCACATGAGAGGGGGGAGGGTCAGAGGGAGAAGCAGACTCCCCGCTGAGCGGGAAGCCCGATGAGGGACTCTATCCTGGGACTCCAGGATCATGACCTGAGCCGAAGGCAGTCGCTTAACCACCTGAGCCACCCAGGCGCCCTAGATATTATTTTAATGTATTCTTTCGAATAGGGAACAGAGGCGAATGGTACAAAATCCAAAGGGTACAAAAGCATAGAAAATAAGACTTTCCTATTCTTGCCCTACCCTACCCTCCAGCAATCTCCTCAGAGCTTGATGTAGTTACCACTTTCTTGGGCAGCCTTCCAAGGATAAGTTATGCACACACAAAAAAACCCGAACACATATAAACTCCTTTCTCCCCATTCCATTCATACTGTTCTGCGCCTTACTTTTTTAGGTTAAGCTGCGATTGGGAAGACGGCTCTGCACAAGTGTGTGCATACAAGTACAAGGGACTCTTTCTTTGTTGTGGCTGCATACTCTTTCACCGTTTGGGAACTGTGCCAGAACTGATTGAACTGATCCCCTGCTCGTGGACATTTAGGTTGTTTCCCGTCTTTTGTCATTGCAAACATGCTGCATTAAAGAACCCTGAACTTTGATTATTTTGCTCATGGGCCAGCATATCTGTAGGATAAAATCCTAGAAGTAGAATTTCTGGGTCAAAGAGTCTGTGTATTTGTCATCTTGGTATCCAACATCAGAATGGCCTCCGCAGAGGTGGTGCCCATTTACCCACAGCGTTGCACGCATTGTGTGTTAACAGATGCTTTGAGTTTTGTCATCTGGTAGGTGATAAGTGCTATCTCAGTGTGGTTTGACTTTGCATTTCTCTCTCTTTTTAAAAAAAAAATCGTGTATTTAAAAAAAACACACATAGTATTTCTATCTTAACCATTTGCAAACATACGGTTCAGTAGTGTTAAGTACATTCACATTATTGTGCAACCACACTTCTCTTACTTTTAAATCACAATACTTCGGGGTGCCAATTGAGGGCTAGGTGCAGCTTGAGGGAGCCTCCATGGCACTTCCTGGTGGTGGGGGAGACAGAAATGTAAACAGGCCGGAGAACGGAGCCTAAGGTAGGGCATTGGAAGCTAGGAGGTGGGGTGGGGATACTCTAGGAAGACTGCTAGGAAGATGTGACCCAGGATTACTCCCGAAGGAAGGGAAGATCTTCCAGGCCAGGGAGGTCCTGTGAGCACAAGTCCAGGGGCCTCGGAGATCCAGGTGTGTTCTAGGAACTGTAAGTGACGTTCCTGCCAGACAGCCACGGATCAGAGAAGTCAGGGTCTTGGGCTCAAGAGCCTCAAAGGCCACTGTGAGGACTCTGTCTTGGGGGGATGGCGGGTTTGGGGCAAAAAAGAACAAAGGTCCAAGGCTGGAGTTGGACAGGCAGATGGCAGGGTTCGGGTGGGAAATGGCAGACTGGTGAGGGACTGAACTGCAAGGCTCCGGGGCGTTCAGAAGGAAGCCTGACGCCCTTCCCCACCTGACGGACAGAACTGGAGATGGCAGGGGGTGGGGTGAGGGAGGGCACCCCGGCCCTTGGGGGCTGAGTTTGGGCCACAGGAGAGACGCCTGAACAGCTACAGAGAAGAGGCATGGGGTGGGGGGGGGAGCCACAGCCTTGGACCTGTCGCCTCCCTCAGACTGTGAGGTTCCCGGGCCCCCGGCTCGGAGACCCCCCAGATCCCAGGCCAGCGAGAGCGGGCCGATCAGATCCCCTGCGCCTGCCCCCCCACCCCCGGGGTCACTGCGGATCTCTAAGCCCCGCCCCTACGGATCTGGGGAGGGGGAAGGCCCGCCAGCCTACTCCCTCCCCCCGCGCTCTCTCCATGGGGGAGGGGCGTGAGGATGTGCGGGGGGCGGGGGGGGAGAAGGAGGAGGAGGAGGAGGAGGAGGAACAGGCGTCGCCATGGCAACCAGCCGGGTGGTCTAGCCCCGCAGACCTGAGAGGGAAGCTAGGAGACCGCCGGGGAGGCCGGCGCCGCGGGCTCGGCGCGGGGGCAGGGGCGGGGACCCGGGGTCTGCCGGGGAGTTGGGGAACGCCGGGCAATTCTCGCCGCTGGTTCCCGGTGGCGCAGGGAGCCCGTGTGTCTGCGAGAGTGTGCCGGCGAAGTTCTCCGCGGGGGGTTAGTGCGTGTGTGCGAGCGTGCGCACGTGGGCGCAGGCGTGTGCGCGGGAGTGCCCGTGGGGGTGTGTGTGTGCTGTGCACTCGCGTGCGCCCCGGTCTGTGCCCGGCGGGCGCGGGCGGGAGAGTCCCGCCCCCTCCCCAGCCTCCGGCCGCCCCTCCCCGCCTCCCGCCGCCTGCGCCGCCTGCTTCCTCGCCTCCACCTCGCTCACCCCCTCCTCCCCGCACTTTCTCCGGCTCTCCCTCCCTCCCTCTCGGCTCTCACCGCCGGACTCCGCGCTCTTCTCGCTGGCCGCCGCGGGAGTCGCCGGCCGCCACCGCCCAGCCTGTACCTGCCGCCCCCCCAGGGCTTGGGCACCTGTTGGAGGCACAGACACAGGTGCAGAGGGCTGGGCCGCCGGGGGCGTGAGGGTGAGGGAGAGCCTGTGAGCCCACGGCGTGCTTAGCTCCCCGGAGGCTGCAATTTCTGGCTCCTCTTGGAGAGCCAGTCTCAGGAGGAGGCATCCGAGGCGGGGGGGGGGGGGGGGGGGGGGGGGGGGTTTCCCCGCGGGGGGCTGCAGGGTAGGGGGGACCAGGCACGCAGGCAGGCAGGCCGATCCTGGGGCTGAATGAAGGGACAGTGGGCCATGAAAGCCTAGAGGGGTGGGTGACACCCGGCCCAGACAGGCCCCTGGTGCAGAGGGATGGACAGAGCCTAGGAGAGGCAGAGGAGGGGGCCTGCGGGGCTGCTTCAGAGGTAGGCAGGGCCCAGGGGCGGACGGCATCCCAGGATGAGGGGCAGGAGCTGGGAAGATGGCATCAGGAACTGTCCAAAGGTATGTGGGCATGGCCGAGGTGGAGCCAGGACCTATCTGGGGGAGTTGGGCTGGCAGCCCAGCCCCGGTGCAGCGAAGCTGGGGGTCCGGAGGGCGCAGGCCTCCTGCCTGCCCACCAGCTGGCCCAGGCCACCCTCTCCCTCCACACCTGGGAAGGGAAGCCAGGGAGGGTCCCACCAACTGGGGAGGTTGCTGTCTGGCCCTCAGCCAGCAGGCAGCAGGTACGAGGAGTCCGCCTGGGGCTCACTCTCTCTTGGACCTCCCTCCTGCAGCCAAGGGTGCTGCATGAGGGGCCGCAGGGGCGACCGCATGACCATCAACATCCAGGAGCACATGGCCATCAACGTGTGCCCTGGGCCCATCCGGCCCATCCGGCAGATCTCTGACTACTTCCCCCGCCCGGGACCAGGACCCGAAGGCGGGGGCAGGGATTTCAGGGCGGCCCCTGCCCGCCTGGCACCCCTGGCCCTGGCCCCCCCTGCAGCCCTCCTTGGGGCCACCACGCCCGAGGACGGAGCGGAGGTGGACAGCTACGACTCAGATGATACCAGTGAGTCTGGGGGCTGGGGGGGGGGGTGCTTCCGGGCTGTGGAAAGGGGCTGGGGCCCTGCTGGGCGTGTTGGGGGAGGCGGGCTCTGCCTCCAGGGCTGCAGTCAGCGTGGAGATTACAGTTTCCGAAAGGCTCAATATTCAATATTTCTGCTGAGACACTCAACCACCCACACAGCCCCAGTTGCGGCCCAGCCGGGGACCCAGACGCTCGCGCACACCCTCCCTTGCAGGCCGCCAGACGCCCAGGCGTGCGCACCTTCCCCAGCCTGCCCACGGGTCTCTCACACACACACCTGTCCTTACACACTGCCTCACGCTGGTCTTTCCTCTTCTCCAGCCGCCCTGGGCATGCTGGAGTTTGACCTTCTCTACGACCAGGCCTCCTGCACTCTGCACTGCAGTATCCTCAGGGCCAAGGTGGGTACTCCCTGCCTCCCAAGCCCTGGCCCCGTTTGCCTGTTTCCAGGTCCCCAGGTTGGACCCCTCCTCCTCCCCCCCATCCCCCGGCACCCTTCTTCTTGACTCTCCACACCCTGAGCATCCATTCTGCAGAGGGAGGCAGGGAGGCAGGGCTGGGAGCTTGCAGCCCTCTTCCCTCCCCTCCCCTCCCCTGCAGGGCCTCAAGCCCATGGATTTCAATGGCCTGGCTGACCCCTATGTCAAGCTACACCTGCTGCCTGGGGCCTGCAAGGTAACGGCCTCTTCCCTCCCCCAGCCTGAGCCGGCTTGTGGGTCTGTCCCCAACCTTCCCCTGCCTTCAGCCTCCATGGGTCTGGGGGACGTGGACTGAGAACCTTCGTCCCCACACCTCAGGCCAATAAGCTAAAAACTAAGACTCAGAGGAACACGCTGAATCCCGTGTGGAATGAGGATCTGACATACAGTGGGATCACGGATGATGACATCACCCACAAGGTGCTCAGGTGAGGGCTCCATTCCCCTTGTTACTGAGGATTCCAGCTCAGCACCTCCTCTGGGAGCTGTCATTGCCACCTTGTTTGGTTGGTTGATCTGCCTCCCATTAAGCCCTTCTCAGATGCTCAAGAACAATCACTGGCTCCCCATCCCCCTTCGGCAGCAGGCCCTCCAAATATCTCCTCCTACTGCTGGTCAGCTTCAAGACTCCTGACCTTTACCTGTTGTGTCTCTTCCATGGAAAGTGCTCCCCGCCGTGCCTCCTCCTGGAAGCTTTCCCTGGTTGCCGAGCGCCCTCCCCAACCCTACCCCCCCCCAACATGTCAGACCTATGTAGCAGAGGTCTGCCCATTCTCATGCCTGTGTCCCCCTAACATCCCGTGCTAAGGAGTGAAGTCTTCAGGGACAGGGAACTTGCTCCATCATCCCAGGAGGTGGAGCTGTGGGGACTGTAATCCCTGGCCCGACTGAAGGGCAGCACAGCCCAGGCTTGTGAGGCCTTTAGCTGTGTTCTTGGCAATGGGGAAGCTGGGGGAGGGTTGGCACCGGGGCGGGGGGGATTGGTCAGCCTTGGATTTTGGAGATCATTCTGCTGGCTGTGAGGCTGACTGGGGATCGGGGCGGGGGGCAGGGTGGACAGAGGCAAGACACCGGGAAGGCTGGCCCATCTCTCAGATGTGAGCGCATTGGGCCTGAGTAGCCGAGTGCGCACTGGTGCCCAGCCCTGGGTTATGCGCCTTTACATTTATTTCCCTTGATCCTGATAGTTGTAGGAGGTGGGTGCTCATTATCTCCGTTTTATAGATGGGAATTGAGGCATAGGGAGGTGGAGTGACTTGGCCAAGGTCACATAGGTAGCTAGTAGGTGGCAGAGGAAGGAAATTAACAGCCCTCCATGACAGCTCCTCAGGAGGGTCAGGACAGAAGGAAGCGCAGGGAGCTGCATAAGGGGATGAACAGAACTGAAAGCAATCATTTCTTAAAGATTTTGTCAGAGAGAGAGCGTACACACAAGCAGGGGGAGAGGGAGAAGCGGATTTCCCGCGGAGCAGGGAGCCTGACGCGGGGCTCGATCCCAGGACCCTGGGACCACGACCTGAGCCGAAGGCAGACGCTTCATGGACTGAGCCACCATGGCACCCCTATAAGCTGTCATTTCTTAATCGCTGGGCTCCTGTGTGTCTCTCCCAGGCTGGTGCCCTGCTCCAGGCAAAGGACAGGAGTGCCGGAGGAGGCGCGGGATCCTCGCCCGACTGCCCAAGGCTCCTCAAGGCGCTTCCAGCCCTTGCACACGGGAGTCCGGGACCCACACCCACCAATGCCTGCTCTGGGCACATTGTTCAGTTGGATCCCGTCCCCAGGCTCTGAATGGAGGCAGTGGAGGGTGGCGGTCCTCAGGATTCGTGGGGGCTTCCTGAAGTAGCTGCCTGGGTCCCGATGGCCCAGGGGTGGCCGGGGCAGCTGTAGGGGGCAGGGCAGCGGGACAGGGCCGATCACAGCATCCTCTTCACGTTCCGGGCCGGGACTCGCCGCACAGCCCATGCGACAGGCGAGGCGTAGAGTAGGGCAGAGCTGGGATTGGCCTCGGGTGCTCCGCGTTCGGTTGGAGGACCTTTCTCCCCCACCGGAGCAGGCTCAGGTACGCCAGGGGGCCCTGACCCTGCAGTTCCCCGCCAGGATCTCCGTCTGTGACGAGGACAAGCTGAGCCACAATGAATTCATCGGGGAGATCCGAGTACCCCTCCGCCGCCTCAAGCCTTCACAGAAGAAACATTTTAACATCTGCCTTGAGCGCCAGGTCCCGGTCTGTGTAGGGGCTGGGGGGTGGGGGTGGGGGCGGGGCGGGGCGGGGCGGCAGCCCTGGGGAGGCCAGGTTTCCAGAACCTTCTCTTCGTCCCCTCAGCTGGCTTCACCCTCCTCCATGTCAGCGGCACTGAGGGGCATCTCCTGTTACCTGAAGGAGGTGAGGTAACCTCACAGGGACCGCGTCTGGGTGGGAGGTGGCGGGGATGCAGGCTGATCCCGAGTCGGCCCCACAGCTGGAGCAGGCCGAGCAGGGGCCTGGGCTGCTGGAAGAGCGCGGGCGCATCCTGCTGAGTCTCAGCTACAGCTCTCGGCGCCGGGGGCTGCTGGTGGGCATCGTGCGCTGCGCCCACCTGGCTGCCATGGATGTCAACGGCTACTCCGACCCCTACGTCAAGACGTGAGCCCGCCCTTCCCTCCCCTGGGAGCCTGCCTGACCTCCTCCGCGGCCTGATGTGTCCCTGACCGCCCCCCTCCTCTACAGGTACCTGAGGCCTGACGTGGATAAGAAATCCAAGCATAAAACGTGCGTGAAGAAGAAGACTCTTAATCCGGAATTTAATGAGGTAAGCGGGGCGGGGGGACGGTGGAGGCTGGGGCCGGGGCCGGGGCCTCACGGAAGCTGTGGCCTGCCCTGCCCCAGGACTTCTTCTACGAGATGGAGCTCTCTGCTCTGGCCACCAAGACTCTGGAAGTCACAGTGTGGGACTACGACATCGGCAAATCCAACGACTTCATCGGTGAGGGATGAGGCTGCCGGGTGGAGCCTATGATGGGGGGTCGGGGGTGGCAGGCCGGCAGAGATGGGCCCTGACGGTGCCAGCCTCTTGCTGCCTCCCAGGTGGCGTGTCCCTGGGACCTGGGGCCCGGGGTGAGGCCCGGAAGCACTGGAGTGACTGTCTGCAGCAGCCGGACGCGGCCCTGGAGCGCTGGCACACCTTGACCAGTGAGCTGCCCCCCGCCGCCGGGGCCCTGCCCTCAGCCTGAGCGGGCGGCAGCTGCCCGGCATGGGCCCCGCGGGGCCAGGACCCAACCTCCGCACGAGTGTGTTGCACGTTTACACGGGGTGGATGCCCCGCCCCCCACTACCTGTCTTATTTTGTGAGTCTCCGTGACCGTGGGTCTGTCCTGTCCTGAGGGGCCGTGGACATCTATATTCACATATGCAAACTTCCTCCTGCCTGACTCGCTCCCACGCAGATATGCAAAAACCCGGCCCGGGCACGCCCACAGGGGGCCGCCGCGCCTCTCTCCTGCCCCTCCAGGCTGCCCCGTCCCCCTCGGCCCACAGGGAGGAGGTCGGATTCGGGGGCGGGGGGGGGGTTCGGAGGAGGGGAATGTCTCCAAAAAAGAGAAGGACAAAAAACAAAAACGAAAAAAAGAGCCACTACTTTAATACAGAATCTTCGTTAAAAACCAACCAACCAACCTAGCCCTGTACAGCTGCCCTTTTAAATGCGGGGGCCACCGCAGGCTCTCTGCCTCTCCCAGAGGTGGCAGATGCTCCCGGCCACTCATTTAAAGAACTGTCCCCTGGATGGGGCCAGGACGGGAGGGCAGGGCCTCTGCCCTCCCCCTCACCCCCACCCCCGTGGGGACCCACCTCCCGGGGGACGTCCGTGCATGTTTACGCCTCTTCTGATTGTGTCAGTGGCCGCAGCATGGCAACTGGGCGTCAATAAACGTCTCTGCGGAAGCTGGGGGCTCGTGTGTGCTGGCGTCAGGCACAGGGCGTGGGCTCGGCCAGAGATGGGGTCACTCCGGGATGTCGATCACCAGGTCGTCATCCCCGTCCAGGGCATCGTCCCCGCTGCCCGCATCGCTGAACATCTGCCGAGGGACGGCGCTCAGGATCGTGGGGGGAGGCATCTTGGGTGGAGGCAGTGGAGCCAGGGCTGCCCCCACCCCGGCCCCCGAGCCCCGGCCCGGGAAGGTCAGCGGCCCTCCCACAGGGCAGTCGGGGGGGCCCACCGCCATCTGCAGCAGGGGGAAGAAACACAGGGAGGGCTGGTCAGGGAGGCACTGGACCTCCAGAAGGCTGGCGGGGGCCTCTTAAGGCAGTTCTGGGGGACAGGGAAGGGGGGCAAAGGCTCATGCCGGGGGCAGTGGACACAGCCGGGCCAGCCAATGCTGGAATCAGGGTGGGGGGGGCCTGCCTCACCTCAGCCCCTTGAATCTCACCCCACAAATGCCTGCAGGTGAGAGGTGGTGATGGAGGCGGTGATGAGGGGGGTGGTGGGGGTGGGGGGGGGGGGGGGGGGGGGGGGGGGGGGGGGGGGGTGGATCTCCCAGGAAACCAGGAGGGGAAGGCCGGACCCCACCCTCTCCAGGGAGGCCCCTTGGCTGCCCCCGGGACAGCACTTAGAGCCGGTCAGGGCGGTCAGAGCCAGCCCGCAGTGCCAGCCTGCCCGCCTCTGGGCACCTCGGACCACAGCTGCCGGCACCGGCCTCTCCCTCCTACTTCGGGACTCACTGGTGAGCTGGACGCTGTCCTAGGCTTTCGCCCCCCCGCCGGGCGAGGCTTCTACCTCTTCTGTCTGGGGACCCCCGCAGCTCACCTGGGCTACGGTACCAGCCTCCTAACTGGACTCCCTGCCTTCAGCCTCTCCCAGAGTCAGCTCTTCCACACTGCAGCCAGAGTGAGCTCTCTAAAACACAGACCTGAGCGTGTCATTCCCCCACTCAAGGGACAGGCGGGAAGCTGCGCCCGACAACAGGCCAGCCCCTCCACCTGAAGTATCCTTTTCTAGCCATCAAAAGTCTTGCTTTGTCCTCCGAGGCTGGGACGTGGCCTCTGTCCTGCCCAACCCTCCAGCCCCCGCCCCCTGCCAGGGCCCCCCCCCCCCCCCCCCACCAGAGAGCTCTGTGGGCCCAAACCGAGCACCTGCTACATGCCAGGTGACTGCCATTAACACCCGTTCCGACCACCCTGGAAGGGAGGGAAGGTTACGGGCCAGAGGAGGAATCTGAGACTCGCAAATGAAGACTCCGAAGCACAGGCCCACTGGGTGCCCGCTGGGTGCCCTCTGGGTCCCCGCTGGGCAGGTCCCGTTTGGCCCCAGGTGGCGGCGGCAGGAAGTGCTTACGTGTGTCTCTACAGTGGCCCCCGGAGCCTACTTTCACACCTTCCGCCCTCATGGCCTACCAGCTGCCTCTCCAGGAGCCCCCAGCCCCGCTGCTGTCCCTGGGGTGGTGGAGGGCCAGAGTGGGCCTTTACCTCCTGGTCAGTGCCTCAGGGTACAGAACTTGGCCAGGACTGGTGACAGACAAGAGGCCCAGCTCCATGAGGACAGCCCCCCCTCCTCTGGCTGCCACCTTTGGACCTCCACCTAAGTCCCTACGTCCCACCCCTTCCTGGCCTTCCCCAATGGCCTCTGTGTGACCAAAAGCACCTCCTGTTCAGCCACAGCTTACTAGGAACCAGGCACTGGGCTATGTGTTTTCTCTTCCTGAACTTACTTCACTCTACACTGACCCCACCGAACAGAGAAGAAAGCTGAGGCTCAGAAAGTGAAATGACTTGCCCGAAGTGTGTGGAGGACTCAAATCCACTCCATCTGACTGGGGCCCAGGCCCTTAACTGACCTGCTCCTGTCTTCACGGCTGTCCTTTGTCTCCTCAGATTGAGCCACCCAGAAACTTCAGTGACCCCCACCCCTTTACAAGGACCTCCTGGCCCTGGGCACCCAGGCCTCTGTGATCCCCCCTCACCCTATGTTTCTGTCCGCCGTCCTTCTCTCTTCTCTCTCCTGCGTCAGCCCAAACAACACTTCTGCCAGGTCCCTATCTTCCTTCCACTCTTGCTGAGCCTGCAATTTCCAAATCTCACCTCCCCTGGGCTCAGATGTTACCTCTTCTTTAAGGCCTTCCCTGATTTACCCCCTCCTCCACCACAGCAACTGATCTGGGCCCCTCTCTCAACCAACCTCCTCTCTCCTCGATGGCCACAACTCAGCTCCCCGTCACCTCTCCGGCAGGACCCAGCACCTCAGCCTCACACAGCAATGCCACACGCGTGCCACGCCTCCACCCATCGGCTCCAGGCTTCCCCGCCCCTGGCCTTGCGCACCATCCCGCCCTACAGGCCAGAAGCAAAAGCCTGCCAAGGAGAGTGCGGGGGCCGAGGTCACATGGAGGCTAAGCAGCAGAGCTGGGATTTGAACCCCGAACCAGCACTCCTAACCACCCCAAACGTGACCTCCCATTTTGCCTCTGGCTCCCGTCTACCCGCCGTGAAAGCTTCGTATCTAGTCCCAGTTCCACTCTGACTCGGAGCTGGAAGGGCACTGTACCTCCTGGGCCCTACTCTCTCCTAGGGCTCAGCGCGCAGGCCTCTCTCCCCTCCTCTCCAGCCACGTTCTCCCCCAACAATCACACCCGCCTCCACGCTGAGGACTTCAGTGCACCCCACGAGCCCCAGGCTTGCGGCCTCCTGGATCTCGCTGGCCTTTCCTGACAGCATTCAGCATGTCCCAACCCGTCTTCCCTCCCACAGCTGCTCCTCCAGGACCTCCCGGGCTCAGAGGGAGGCTACCCCTCTTCTTCAGTTGCTCGGGCCCCAAATCCTGGAGCCGCCCCTGGGCTCTGCTCTTTCCCACAGCCCACGCTGGTCTTCCCATGGCTCCATCTTCGAAATTGATGCATCAGCCACTTTTTGGCGCTCTACCTGCTTTACTGCAGGAGCCTGCTTGGGGGGTCTCTCCACTTGCATCCCCACCTAGTGCCTCCCCGGTCCGTTCTCCACACAGCTGTGAGTTCCATAAAGCAGAGCAGATTCCCCTCTGCCTGACCTCCTGCAACGGCTCCCCATTTCATTCACGGTACAAGCGAAGCCTCTGTGACACCGAGAGGGCGCTCCACCATCCTGCCCCCTGGTTATTTCTCTCACCTGCTTACCACCCCCCCACCCCTCCCTTGCCTCTGACCACACTGGCCTCCTTCCTGGTCCGTGAACAGGTGGACACACGCACTCCTGGGGGCCTCTGCACTGCTTGCTCTCTCTGAAACACCTGTTCAGAGAGTCACATGCTCGCTTCTCATTTCTTTTAAGCCTCTGACCAAATAATGTCCTAGACCACCCACCCAAAAATACCGGCCCCTCTCTACTCTGGGGCTTCCCACCCTCTACCTGGCCCCATTTCTCAGCGCTGGCACCTCCTTTTCTTGTCTGTCTTCCACCTCTCTTGCTAGAATGGGAGGTTCGTGAAGGTGGGGATTTTTGTGTTTTGTTCGCTACCGCGTCTGCAGCACCTAGAACAGTGCCTGGTACACAGCAGGTGCTCCAGAAACACTCGTTCGCTACATGTGGTTTGATCACTCACTTACAGATGCAGAAGAGGAGGCCTAGACAGCCAAAGAGACCTGTTCTACGTCACATGGTTTTTAACTGGTGGAATCTTGACTCCACTCCAGGTCCCACAACTCTGCCTGTCCGCTGGGGCTGCCCGGCGTCACAGGCCACCTGTGAACAATGAGCCTGGCCCCCCAGAGTCTTAGCTTTGCGGGCCCCAAGGGTGGTCCTGCCCTCATTGTTCTCCACATCAAGCCTGTGGGCCAGGACATCTCTGACCCACCCCTCAGCTCCTAGCCCTAGGCTGGGCCCCCAGCAGCCCCAAATCAATCCTTGGAAGTTCTCGGACAGGCCCCAGCCCGTCTGGAGCCTCCCTCAGATGGCGGTCCTCCTGCCGTTCTGGCCCCTCCCTAACATCCCCCAATCAGGGTACCTTGAGTTTCCGGGGCAGGCGGGGCCGTTTCTCCCGCTTGGGCCTCAGGGGGCTGGGCTCGGGCAGCTGCAGGGCCAGGTAGTCAGAAGGGAATGGGGGGTAGGGAGGGGAAGCCAGCTGCAGGCAGGAGTGAGGGGATGGAGATGGGAAATGGAGTGGATGGGGTTGAGGGGGGAGGGGAAGAAACGCAAACAGGAGGAGGAATGGAAAAACAAGAGGTGGTGATGAGTGTGGCTCCTGAGAACAGAAGGGGAGGGGACAGCAGCAGGACTGTGTCCTGAGCTCTGCTCTCCTCAGTCACGCCTGTCCCCCATTCCTACACCAGAGAGAAGTGGGCAGCCCCGACTCACACCCCTCCAACGGACGCTTGCTGCCACACCCAGACAGATGTCCCCAGAGTTGGGCCGGCCTCCCCCTGAGGCCCGTCTGCCCAACAATGCCCACCTTACTCCCAGGCGGCTCAGCTACCGCTTCCCACCCTTGACGACAACTCACCGAGCTCAGGTACGGGGAGGGGGCCGTGGAGGCCTGAAGGGGAAACCCCGTTGAAGGAGGCAGGGAGAGGCTGGAGGGGGAGGGGGCGCCCCCCAGCGGAGGGCTTCTCTTCCTGGAGAAAGTACGGGGGGGGGGAGGTTGTCAGAGGCAGCTAGGAGGCCCAGGTGCCCCCACCCACCCACCCCCACCCCCAGAGAAGAACAATGGCTTCTTCCCACCTCTTGGGGGCTGGCGTGTCCGACAGCTTGGGTGTTCCCTCTGTCTCGCTGTTATCTGAAGATGCAGTGGCATCTGAGTCTGTGAGGGGGGAGGACTGGTCAGAGGGAGGGTGGGGGGCTCCAGCCTACCCCAGAGAGGTGCAATCTCAACTCTATGGAAGGGCCCCAGGGAATCTGACTCCCCAGTTGGCACATAGGCGCTCTTCAGGAGAGGCCCACAGCTTCCTAAAATGTCCTTTACAACTGACTTCCTGCCTGGACTCCTCCCTCATAACACAACTGTCAAGCACTTAACTGCGTGCTAGGCTCTGAAAAGTTCACCCCCGCTCCCTGTACTCATAACCACCCAAGGAGGAAGGTGAGGGCATCATGTCCTCCTTCCAGATGAGGTCACCGAGGCTGAGAGAGTAAAGTGTGCAGCTGGAACTAGAACCCCCCATCTCTGCTCATGCACTCTCTTCTGCCACTCTTAAGCTGCCTTCAGCTCCTGCCTCTGTTCCACTCCCCAGGTCCAGGGTCCTGCTAAGCTACCCTTCACATCTCCCCTGTCTTTAGCCACTGCTCCCCACCCCAACGACCACCACCTCAGACCGCCACATCAACATCGCCGGCTCACCTCTCCTGCTACCCACTGTCCACGCCAGCTCCAGAATGATCTATCTGGAAAGCTGATCCCAGCCTTCCTGGTGACATCGCCTCCTGCCTGCAAACGTCTGGAGTGCTTCTTAATCTGGTCTCAACCTACCTTTCTGGTCTCCTGACCGAACCATACTCTTCCGTCACATCATTTCCTCTAGAAAGAAATTTATCTCCCAGTTCTGCACTTCTACTTAGAAGGCCCATAGCTCATTTAACAATAACTGATACCCGGGATGTACGCTGTCCCCAGTTTCTCTGCTCAGATCCTTTAAGAAGCAAAATTAAACACTGCCTCTCTGAGAAGTCTTCCAGAATCCCTCAGGCTCAGTTAATTGCTGGCTTTCCCCAAAACTCTCCACTCTCACTTGTCAGGGCTTGCCTCTCGTTGTGCTAAGATGTGTCATGTGTGGGTGTCTCCCTGACCAGACGGTGGGCTTTTCCAGGATACGAGTGGCGGCTTACGTCTCTGGTTCTCCCTCCTCAAGATTTATCTCACTCTGACCATGAACATACTGTTTTTTCTCATGGCTCCTGTCCTGAAGTGCCCCTCAAACAGGAAGTTACCTGGAAGACCTCAGGGAAGGAACAGGCAGGCAATGAGCAGCAGGACGAAAAGCCAAACGGTTTGCCTTGACCCATATGAGCTGGCTCCTGCCTATTTCTCTGACCTCATCCATCACCTACCAACCCATCATACATAAAGGAATGACCATTGTGTGTTCCAATAAAACACTATTTATGAAAACAAGTAGCCTGGCTGGCTGTCGTCTGCTGACCCCACTCCAGACCAGTGTTTAAAAAGCACCATGGGGAAAGCTGATCATATATGTCATAGGTTATAAGGACCCCACGCTGGAATAGGACCACAAATGCCCACCTTAGCACTTTTTCAAACTGTGGGTCTCACCCTATTAGTGGGTCATGAAGTCAACTTAGTGATTTGCAACCAGCATTAAGTTTAAAAAAAAACAAACAACAAAACAGTAAAGAAAAAAGCAGTCTAGGGGCGTCGGGGTGGCTCAGTCATTAAGCGTCTGCCTTCGGCTCAGGTCATGATCCCCGGGTCCTGGGATCAAGCCCCGCATCGGGCCCCCTGCTCGGCGGGAAGCCTGCTTCTCCCTCTCCCACTCCCCCTGCTTGTGCTCTGTCTCTCGCTGTGTCTCTCTCTGTCAAATAAATAAATAAAATCTTAAAAAAAAAAAAAAAGAAAAAGAAAAAACCAGTCTAAAAACCACCAGAACAAATTATATACGATGACCTTGACGCTGTTTCATCTTGTGGTCTTATAAGCAAGTATGTCCGCGGGGCCTTAGTCTGACATGATAAGGAGTGCTCAAAGCAAAGTTTGGAAATACCGCTTCAGCCCTTCTGCTCTGGTCCCTTCTCACCTCAGGGCATCTGCACTGGCTGTTCCCTCTGCCTGGAAATCTCTCACTTGTATCTGCACAAAATTGGTTTCTGCTTCTTAGCTAGGTCCCAGCTCAAACATTCCTTCCCGAGAAACGCTTTTCCGGAGTGCTCTACTGACGCTGTCTGTCATCTGCTTTTGCGTCGTTTGCAAACTAAGAACGGCTTTTACGTTTTTAAATGTGGGGCGAGGGTGGACTCAAAGGAAAAATACCACTTATGACATGTGAAAATCACATGAAATTCAAGTTTCAGTGTCCATAAATAAAGTTTTATTGAAACACATCCATGCTCACTTATTTACATATTACCTGTGGCTACTTTTGCGCTACAACAGCAGAACTGGGTAGTTGCAACAGTTCTGCAAAGCCTGAAATATGTTTTATCTGGCCCTTTACAGAAAACGTTTACCAACCCCTGCTCTAGTCCGATCACTACCATGCAACCCTGATTTTATTCCTTTCAAATCTAAGATCCTAGTTTCTTTGTTTTCCTGTTACCCCCAGCCAGAACGCAAATTCCACTGTATCCCCTGTGCAAAGCAATAAATACTCGAGTGAAAGAATGGTGGAGGTGAAGGGCAAGCAACAGATTTAAGAACCACTGGAGGTTTTATCAGCCTCCGCAGCCTATAATGAGGGGCCCAGGAAGCTTGCCGAAGTGCCAGGAGCCACTTCCTCCACTAATTTTTCATGACCTTGCTCACCAGAAGAATCTTCATCCACGTTCTCGTACTGCAGAAGTCGGTCTAGGAGGAAACTAAAGGAAGAGGTGGGGGAGAACAAGAGTGTTTATTCCCATCTCAGCAACGTTCTTCTGGACCCTGTCCCCTCTAGCTGGTCAAGGGGTCCCCGCAACAGCCTCAAGCCAGGCGCCATGCATCTGTGGCCCAATTCCAAGGACGGGGTCCGAATGTAGATCCACAGAAGCCACATCACCCGCAGACATTCCCCCTTCCCCCCACCGTGTCCCACCTCTTATCCCGGGACACCTTCAGCAACTTCCTCTGCGCCTTCCTCAGCTCCTCCTGGAAGCACTCGTGTTCCTGTATCACAAGCAAGGTGGACGCTGAGCCAACGGCCATCCGTAAAGGGGCCCGGAACCCGGCGACAGCTGACTCCGCTCCCTTTACACGTGGGTAAACTGAGGTCCTACCAGCGCCAGGCCTCAACCCCCACAAACCTCTCACCCCAGCACTCACGTAGATGAGGAACTTGAGCTTCCGCTTCAGGTTCCGGTATTTCTTCTTGTAGTCCACTTCGCCGTCGGCCGGCCCGTTCATGACCCGCCCCAGGAGCAATGCCCCGCAGGTGTCAGGCGTCCCGCTACCCAGAGCCTGCGCACAGCCCCGCCTCTCACGCCTCCGCTTCCGGAGACTCCGTAAGTCTGTGTCCGCCGGGACTACAACTCCCAGCGTACCCCGCGCCCAAGCCTCTTAACCGCAAGGGTTGCCTTCTTAGGCGCACCGGGAAAAGAACGTAGCTTTCAGGGGCTACGCTGAAGATGGCGTCGCAGCGACGCGATGATGTCATAAAGATGGCGGACGCCGGAGGTACCTTTGTGGATTCTGGATAATCGCAAGCCCCAAGACTTTCCCCCCAGGGATTCCTAGTCTTCAGGCGAGGATATCCTTTTTTATCTGTCTTTCGAAATCACTGCGGCCTAGCTAGTGCCCGTGACCACGGACGGAGGCAGTGTCGCGGGTTGATTACGTTACCCGAAGGCTGCCGGCGTCGAGTCGGTTTCTAACGAGAATTTTTTAAAAAAACGATTGACGCGAAGAAAAGGTAGGAGCCGCGAACCCCTCCAACTACCTGAGGCAGGCAGCTTTGTCTGGCAAAGTTCTCGGTCCAGACGATCCGCGACCAACCCCCAACGGTCCCTCCTCCCACGGCGCCACGACCCGGCGAGTGCGCAAGCTCCTGTCAAACGCGGTGACGGAGGCCGAAGAGAAAAAAAGGCGGGAGCCACCAATCCCAGGTGGAGCAAAATGGCGCGGGAGAACGAGATGCAGGAGTTCATCCGTAGCTTCTTCCGAGGCCGCCCGGACCTCAGGTGCACTAGAGGCTGGAGTTGGGGTTGGAAAGGGCAGGGGCGGGACGGGGACTCCGTCTTGACACATGTCTCCGCAGCACGCTCACGCACTCCATCGTGCGGCGGAGGTTCTTGGCTCACGCGGGCCGCGACCACCTGGAGCCCGACGAGAAGCAAGCGCTGAAGCGACTGGTGGAGAAGGAGCTGCTGAAGGTGCAGGTGTGGCGCGAGGCGGGGTTTGTTGCTGAGGAGGAGGGGCCTGGGAGGGGGTAGGGAACGCAAACTCGGTACACGTTTTGCCCTCTCGCGCGCACACAGGTGGATGAAGCAGGTGCCAGGGAAGAGAGGCTAGATCTTGCCAAGAAGGCAAAGAGGCCTCCCACCCCCATGAGTGGCCCCGTGAGGAAAAGGTTCCGTTTCAATTCGGAGTCAGGTTAGTGGCTTCTGCATAGTTGGTGCATTCAAAAAAGTATTTACTGCGCGTGCATGATCTCCCAAAGCATTAGATGCGGGCACGAGGCCAGTGAGGCAGGAACCAGGCACGGGGTAGACTGACTGATAGCTGTGTTTCCTGTTGCCCTTCCCTCCATCTGTCAGAGGCAACCAACCCCAAGTGGAGGGAAGAAGGGCCAGGAGGAACCCATCCCGACCTTCTTTTCTCTCCACATTCCAGAGCCCAGCTCTGCAGCCTCCAGTCCGGACTGCTTTGGCCCCCAAGCAAAGAATGGGATGGCGACAGTAGAAGTCAGTCCAGCTGAGGGGGAGAGGCCAAAGCAAGCCTCAGAGAAAGCAGTTGAGGAGAGCAATGATGAGGAAGAACAGCAGAGGGGCCTGACTGCAAGGACTGGATTAGAGAAGCTGGCGGCCAAGGAGAGCAGTGAGGAAGAGGAAGAGGGCTCTGCCAGAACAAGTAAGGTCTCCAAGGAAGAGAGCAGTGAGGAAGAGGAGGAAGAGGAGGAGGAGTCTAAGGGCAGGGTTAGGAAGGAACCCGTGACAAGGGATAAGCAGGCACCAGGCCAAACCGCTGCCCGTAGGAAGCAGGCCAGGGAGGAGGGTGAGGACAGTGAGGAGGAACCAATCCAGAGGACAAGAAAGAAGGCAGTGGGAAAGAAAGGAGCTAAAAGCCACCAGGAAAGTGAAAGGGACAGTGAGGAGGAGGAGGACACCCTGGCCAAAAAGAAAAACAGCAGGGAGGAAGAGGGGGAGAATCGGAAAGCTGGAGCCCGGGGCAATGGAGGGAACAAGTCAGCTTGGGAGGAGAGGAGCTGTGAGCAGAGAAGCAGGGCAGCAAGACTGCTGGGAGAGTCGGGGGACAGAGAGGGAGAAAAGGAAAAAGCAGGCAGTGGGGATAAGAGCGGCGGAGACGAAGAGCCCCTGGTGCGGAGGAAGAGGAAGGACGGGACCCCGTGGAAGGGTGGGAAAAGGCAGAGTGGAAGCAGCGAAGATGGGGAAGACAGCTGGGGAGAGGTGAAACCAACTACTGAAGGCACTGGAAAGACAGCCAGAGTGGGCAGTATCAGTGGGGAGGTGAGCGACTCGGAGAGGGAGGTGAGTGACCGTGAGGCAGGGGGTAGCCCTAAGGGGGAGAAGGAGAACCACTCTTTCAAGAAGAGCTCCAGGAAAGGCAGGACGCGAAGCTCCTCCTCCTCGTCCACAGATGGCAGTCCGGAACCCAAAGGCAGGAAGGTGATGAGGGGGGACGATGGGGTGGGAGGCCACCTTTAAGGAAGAGGGAGACCTTGACTCAAGTCCAGAAGGTTTGGCCTTCAGCTGCTGTCTTTCCTTGCCAGGCTGGCCCTGGTCGCCGTGGTGAGGACCACCCAGCTGTGATGAGGCTGAAGCGTTACATTCGGGCCTGTGGTGCCCATCGCAACTACAAGAAGCTGCTGGGCCCCTGCCGCTCACACAAGGAGCGCCTCAGTGTCCTCCGGGCAGAGCTGGAAGCCCTGGGCATGAAGGGTGAGGCTGGATGTGCCCTGGGGGCCGCAGGAGAGGGCCTGGGCGGCTGGGGAAGAGGGGATCACCAGCCTCTTCTGCCCCAGGTAACCCTTCCTTAGAGAAGTGCCGGGCCCTGAAGGAGCAGCGGGAGGAGGCGGCTGAGGTGGCCTCCTTGGACCTTACCAACATCATCAGTGGTTCAGGTGAGGGGTTTCCTCCCACTCTCTGAGACGGGGCTTGGATTTTCTCAGATAACTGATCTCCTGCTTTTTCTGCCCCTCAATCCAGGCCGGCCACGCAGACGCACAGCTTGGAACCCTTCAGGAGAAGCAGACGCCCCGGGGGAGCTATACCGCCGGACTTTGGGCTCAGAGGATGAGCAGCCCCGTGCCCCGCCCCCAGACTGGTCACATATGCGCGGCATCATCAGCAGTGATGGAGAGAGTAACTGAGCTCCTCCCCTTCCCCAGGAGGCTTTCCACTTGGAGAAAGCAGATCCAGCACCCACAGCCCCCATCCCAGTCGGTGCCTGCAGAGCTTCAGAAGCAGCTTTCTTCAGAGAAGACTTTGTACCTCCAGGGACACAAGTTGTTGGGATCCTATTTCTCATGTTCTCAGTTTAAGGTGTTTACAGGGGTTTATCGTTTAAGACTCAATAAAGGAGTTGTTTGAATCACCTCATCAAAACTGGTCCCCACTTGGGGCACCTGGCGGGCTCAGATGGAGAAGTACGTGATTCTTCATCTTGGGGTCGCTGAGTTTGGGGCGAAGAGATTACTTAAATAAAACTTAAGAAAAAGAAAACCGACCCCACCCTCACTCCCTGTACTTTGGGCCAGGAAGGTGAGGAGTGGCCACTGTCCCCACCCAGTCTGGTTCCCTTTTATTTCCCCCAGGTTCTCCAAATGACGTCCCAGCCTCCAGACCCTGCCATCCAGTCTGCCACCGGGCTATATCAAAAAAGAGTGGGGCTCCTACCCCGCTTCCTCCAGCCCGACCAGCAGGGCCCTCACCATCCTGCTTTTAAGCTGTGTTAACATGCCTAGCTGGGAGGAGGGTCTGAATAACTGGCTTTAAGAAAAATGTGAGAAACATAATGAAGTGACTTGGTGACAGCTGGTGTTTACGTCTTCCTTCTCCCCTTCTAGAAACAGCCACTTAGTCCTTGGGCCAATTCTTTTCGCCTTGAAGGGGTGGGTATGGGGCATAGACCTGACCAATCCGAGTACCTCAGGCCTCTGGCTACAGACTGAGCCAATGAAGTCACTTTAGGACTTTGCTGGCATACCTGCTGTTGAGATTGCTGCTAAGATGTAGGCTTGGAGCTGCCAGGAGCCTGTGTGTACAAGTGAGCCTTCTGAAAATCTTTGAAGCCCAAAGCAAAGGGAAGTAGAGGCCAAAAGACTGATGAATTCCTTTAAAGCTCTGGATCCAGCCATGCCCAAAGTCATTAAAATCACTGAAATTTTTAGTTACACAGCCCAATAAATTCCCTTTTTAAATACAAGTCACACTATCACCTCCGGCCAAACAGTCCTTAATACACACCTTGGACAGAAAGGGTGAGTCCTGGGGTCTGTTAGAATAACCAACAGTTTATTAAAAGCTTGCTGTGGGGCTCTGTGCCAACCCCATAGCTGGGAGGGGCTCCCATGACTGCCCCCAGGCCTGGGAGCAGCCCCTTCGAAGGTCCTTCCCTTGTTCCCCTGCCCCAGCTCTGATCTCAATTTAAAAAAAAGATAAAGGACAAGACGGCACAGGACGTCAGACAGCAACGGGGGGGGGGGGGAGATAGAGAGACCAGGCAACCTGACCCCAAGACCCCATCCTGATCCTTCTTTCTTAGGAAGGCCTTTTCCTTCTGTTCTCCCCAACCCCAGACCTGCTCTGCCACACCCCAGGTCTGGGGGGCCTGGCATCCCCAGTCCACGGCCCCATTACACGGGGTAGTATAGTTCTCTGAATATAATATATCTAGACCCACCCTTCCCCTCCCCCAGGGGACCAGATGAATATTTGACACGCACATCTCCCTCCTTTCCCGAGGCTGTGATGGAGAGAGACCCTGGCACCATGGTGGGGAGGCAGGGGCTCCTGGTCAGCCTTGAGGCACCGATGCCCAAGCTGGCCCTGGGCCACTGGCCAGCCCAAGAAGCTCATGAGATGAGGAGGTCTGAGGGGAGCTGGAGCCAACATCCTGTCCCCCACCCCTGGGTGGGCCTCAAGCTTACAGCCCTCCAGGATCAGGCTCCACCCACCCCTGCCCCTGTCCCATTCATCTGCTCATCCACCCTGCACTTCAGGAATAGAAGTGGGAGGAGCCATTGAGGATGTGGGAAGCAACACTGGTGCTACGGCTCAGAGGCCCAGGCACTGCAGCAGCAGGGGGGCCCACATTGTCACTGCCACTGCCCCCTGAGGCTGCCCGCCGCAGGGGCTGAGGGCTATTTCTTAGCAGCAACAGGGCTCCACCACGGGGTGTCCCACTCTGTGTGGGGGGCCCCAGCCAGTTTGGGGGACCTGGTGGAGCCAGCAGAGAGGGC